TCCAGATTAAATAATAGGGTACTTTTTATCCCGGAAAAATTTAATATTCTCGTGGGAAAACGAAATTATTGGTATAGATGGCGCTGTGTGTGGTGTATTGGTATATGTCACGTACGCTACTTTTTATCCTTTTGTGACGCGAGCGAAGCCGCGCGTAAAAGCTAGTTAAATATAAAGTCGAAATATCCAATGGCAAAAATTGGAGTAAGTAGATGTGCTGGCCATTGTACGTAAGGAATTTACGACAGAACTTACTTAACCTAGACAAATTACCATACAGTTTTAAAGAAACATGTAAAACTTGTCCTATAGGACAGATTATAATTACAATAGGACATATCCGATATCAAACTAAACATTACAGGACACGAGATATACTACAAAACAAATCTATACTTAGTATCCAGATGAAAAATTTATCTAGGTACTTAAGTTTGTAACTAATTAAATGCCAGACACATATTAATGTCATATTTATTTTCGTCTGATTATATTTTGTCTTTTTTGCGGCTTTCGAAAAAGTAGACTTTAATTAATGGGAGTAGATAATCTAGTTCTTTTAGCGCTTGTTTTTCTCTTGTGTATATTGCATTCTAATGTGTTATGAATGCAGGTAACATCTATGTACTTACATATATTATCTACAATGTTATTTTAATATTAAACGTCCAAATAGACTTTTAAACATCTAGTTTCACAATGAGTGACTATTCACACGTTCAGCCCGGAGGCGCCGGTATGTAGCAAATTACGCCGGTACGTGTGAAACGCGGAGAACTTAACGGGCTGCCGGGGCTCCGGCTCGAATGGCAGGAGTAGGAACGGGGTGGTTTTTAGTCAGTAATAGTCTGACACTCCCTCCCGCCTCACTCAGGCGAGAGAAGCCATTCGATGATTTTCCCCTACTTAAAAAAAAAAACGTGTGAAAGCTACAGTAAGTACATGGTAATACACTGCGCTGGTATTCGTGCCAGGTATTCGGCGCCGGATACCCGGAACGTGTAAAAAGGCACTAAGGCCGCACAAACACACAGTCTGCTTGATGGAAGTATTTTATTGTAAGCCAATGAATGACTGCATGCTGTATGTAACACCAGAGGCCTTAGTACGAGTTTCTTTTTCGTTTAAAGTAATTGAAACGAGACGGCGTTCTGTGTTCTGATTGGTTGGTTCATTAGAGCCGGCCAATCGCAGCGCCGAACGCGTACTCGTTACGATTACTTTACACGAAAAAGAAAGTCGTACTAAAGGTCTCTGAAGTATTACTTTGCCAACCATACGATCTAGAAAGAAGTTCTAGTCGATTCAATTCGTCACAATAGCAGGTCCAAAAAGTATTGATTTTAAAATTCTGGTTAGTAGCAGAGCTGGACCGTTTAACAATAGGTTCATCCCTTATAACAAAGGCACTAGTAATCACAATGAAAAAGTTATTATAAGTAATCCAAGTACTTAAGGTTTATATTTGTCTACCTTTAAAAAAAGCTCTTAAAAACTATAAGAAAAACAGTAACATGTAACTACAACAGTCTAATTACTATATTTGTCCGTCAAATGCTCACCATAGCTAATAATATCGCGCGCTTAACCCAAACATGGCCTCAGGACAACTCTAGTGATTACGTAATCCTAGTAATACAGAGGATAGGATCAGGATTAATTCTAGTTGTTTATTTTATACTTCACTAGCGGCCCGTCCCGGCTTCGCACGGGGGGACTTAAGATTTTTTACATAGTTTTACGTTTTATTTATATTTATTCTCAGTTTTTTTTTTATTTAGGAAGTATTTACCTTTTGAAAACATTTTTCCGGACTTCATTTACTTATTTCATTTATTTAATTAATTATTTTCTTCTTAAATAGGAACCTACCTATTTTGTCGTTGTTTGTTTTGGTTGAGGTAAAAGTTTGTTTTTAAATTGTTATTTTACATTTATTGAAAAATATTTACATCTTTTCATTTTTTTTTGTTTTTCTTTATTGTTTTAAGGTTTTTTTTTGTTGTTTTAAGGTTTTTTTTTGTTAAAGTTTTTTGTTTGTAAGTACTTACCTAATAGGTATCTTTTGGATGAATTAATAGTCATAAGGTAACCGATTGAACAATTCAAAAGTTATCTAGAGCAAACTTTTATAAGGATTGAACCATTCATTAAAACGATTGTTATGGGTAAACTATAAAAGGTAGACATATGCTCTCGCAGACTTTTTTAAAAAGAATGTTAAGATGAACAATTCATCCATAGAGCATTTTTGTATAACTTTAACTATTTGCCCAGCGCACGCCACGGAAGGCCTCAGAAACGACACTTTTCCTCCGTTTTTAAAACATTTTTAGTTACTGCTCCACAACTATAGGACTTAGCGTGATATTATATAGCCTATGTTACTTCTGAATAATGCAGCTTTCTAATGGTGAAAAAATTATTGGAATCGGTCCAGTAGTTTTTGAGTTTATTCATTACAAACATACAAAAATACAAATCTTTCCTCTTTATAATATTAGTATAGATAGCAGCATATCTATATTTGCAGTTTCCAAATCAACATGAATACTATACCATTTTTGAATGGATAATCATTAAATGGCTCCTCTTGCCTTGTGTGAAGCGTGTCAGACTCTTACTGAACTAAAAATCACGCCGTTCCTTCAAATTACATACACTTCGCATTATAATTAGGGGCAAACATAATGCCACCAAACACTGGAACTGGGAACTTTAAGACTTCGTAGTGGCAGTGCCTAAATTCTTAAGTATTTAACTGTCGCCAGAGACCTGTTAAAGGGAATAACGTAGGTTAACGTAGGTCACCAGTGACCTACACGGTGGCTTTTTTTTTGAGGGGGAAAATCATCGAATTACTTCTCCCGCCTGGGTGAGGCGGGAGAAGGGAGTGTCAGACTCTTACTGACTAAAAACCACCCCGTTCTTACTCCTGCACTTCGAGCCGGAGTCCCGGTAACCCGTTAAGTTCTCCGCGGCTCCGTATCGGCATCAGTCCTATTGGGCCCCATCCGTGGTAGTCTGATGGCTCTTTGAGGCGCGCCCGCAATGCGACGAGCCGTACACCTACACGGCGGCTAACGTGTTAAGAATCAACCGCTCTTACTGTGATACTCATTACTTAAACTATTCCTTAGTAACGATTTTGTACGAAAAACAATTGCTAAGCACTGGTTTACTTAGCCATTAAATGACTCTGAGTACGGCGGTTAAACTATTTTTAAATGCATGGTCTGATCACCACACTCCGTTGAAGAATAATTATGCGCTTAATTCCAAAAATGTTCACATACATATTTGCTTTAGTTACTTCAAACAGTAATGGCGATATTTTGAGTAAGTTTTATACATATATAAACAAAAATCTTTCATTGCAAACAGCATTGTTATCTGCCGAACTATTTTGGAATTCTGTACATTATTTTGATAAAAGTCTTTATGTGGTAATTTTGTACGTGCCTTGTTTGAACTTGGTGTATTTTTCCGTATTTCGAGTCTTTATTTGTTTCATAAACATGTTATAAATCATCTGGTACACGATTACAATCGCAAGAAAGAATAAGCGAGGAAACATTTGGCTGTATTTTGTTATAGAAGTTATTTTTATTACAAAATGCAACTTTATTGCCGACGTATACGGTTGATTATTCGATCAGAACTGTGGATACCTCTCCTGTATTCCCAAAACCCTATTTGTCTAAACGAAAACCAACTCTTTCTTCTTTAAAATAAATATGTAAATAAGACTCCTAAATCAGTACACAAAACCGGTATTCCTTCAAAAACAAATCTACACTAAGTACTTCTAACATCCCATTTGTTGTTAGTACAGACTTATAGACGCCAGCAGGTTATGCAATACCTTTCTGTCTAATATCTTTATTTTATTTTCAACTTTATCGTTTTGGTGTAAAGTCGAAAATCCAATAAAGAATTGGACAGATTGAAGTAGGCTCTCTATTGGGGTATGTGTATATACAATACGGTACCTTGTTGGAGCAAGGTTCAAAGTAAATAAGGACATCCTTCTGTAAACGTAAAGATGGAGGAATGTTAAAAAATAAGCGAGAACTAGATAATGAAATGTTTGAAGAGATATCTTTAGAGGTAGGATTTAAAATATGGAGATTGTGTCGTCACACCTTTTATCATAAGGGCTCAATTCTAGACTTAATGCTATAGGAAAGTGAACATTTTACATTACCTATTATGTTTTCGCCTTACTCACGTAACTCTTTGACAAGTAACTCGACTAGTTATAAGCCATGCTAGAGGCTCATTCATGAGCATCATTCCGCGACACGATGCGGCGTCTGTCGCGCTGCTGCTATCTAAATCCTTTAACGTCACAAAAAGAGTAATTGTTGTAGTAATTGGAGATACCTAAAACCCTAATTCATATATCGCCGATAACGCTCTTGTAACTCCTACGGTGTTGTGAATGTCCATGGACGGCGCCGATTGCTTAGTTGATTAAACTAGGCAGTTAATTATAGACACATATAGAATAAGTTAGCGTTTTATCCTTACCCAGATTCCGAGCCAGTATTAACACTTTATTTTAAGTATGGTACAGTATATTGTACTCCATTTATGATGTCGGTAGGATAATAAAATATACAAAGTTATTTGTACATCTTCAGAATTTTATGCTCAGTATAAGAAGCTCACAGATAAAACTTTAAGTGTCTACGACTTGTTTACAAAGTACACAGCTTAATTATCTGTTAATTACCCTCATATCTAAAGTGCCTGTAACAAAATCATTAAGTCAACATATCTGATAAATTATCTTAGATCCTACAGTGCTTGTCATAGCGCACATTTTCCTATAACGTAATATGGAGCCACTATTAAGCTCTAAAGATTGTTTAAACGGCAACCTGTTTTAAACTCTTATGCAATCGTTTTAAAGTTCATAATTTCTCATTTCTTTACACTATTAACGTAATACAAGACATATTCAACAAACATTAAAGTTTAATATTCTTCAACAGACGTAGCGGCTATGATTCAGAGACGAGCGAATATTCAGAGGATTCAGCGGCGGCCTACGAGGATGTCCAGGCTGCAACCAAAAGCTCTGGGCCGCGGAAGAATATTAATAGGGGGAGGTGGACAAAGGAGGAGGTGAGGACAATGTTGTAATACTACACTATCCCTAAAGCCATTATCGAATGAAGAAGACGAATGAGTGGCTTAAACAACTGGCTTGTTTCGATCACGTTCATGAATGGTAGCGGAAAAGTAAGGCCTCGCATTGTACCCAGTTGCACATTGCTGCATTTCAAGGTCGACTGAAAGTAAATTCATATAATAACAAACAAAAATTGTAAACTAAAAAGAAAAAAATAACTATCATTAGTACTGATAGGTTACCCACCCACGGAGGTTAAAAATCTTTGGCTTTTTGAAATCGGTTTTTTAAACGCAGTTTTTATTTTATCATTTTATCATTTTCAGTGTTAAGCTACATAGATCCGTTTTGTCACTTATAATCTGCATAGGTGCAAAGTTCTAATCAATACAAATTAATCAAGCCCAAACACAAGGTAGTTAATATAAACCGCTGAGGAGTTCTCTCGACTTTCTGTCGGCTCCATCATCAGGTCGAATCCAGACCCTTATCAAAAAAAATCCTAATTGAAAAATATAATAGACGCATTACTCGCCCCTAGAATTTTCGAAACTTCCCCTCGGTTTACCTAGGATCCCATAATCAGATCCTGACCTCATTGAAATGGGACCATCTCGGGAGTATTGCCTTTCAAACAAAACAAGAATTTTGGAAATAGAATCTACTTTATCTAATCTACTCATCGTCTTCTCAAATTCTTCTTTCGTATTCTGTTTACTTATTTCTTCCATCTCTAATTTCAGGACAAAAAGCTAAAAGCATGCGTAAATATATACAATGAAAATTGGGACCTGATATCGGCGCAGTTTGCTGATAGGTCGGACGTCCAGTGCCAACAGCGGTGGACCAAAGTCGTCAACCCTGAACTAGTCAAAGGCCCTTGGACGAAAGAGGTAAGTTATTTTGAAACTATTTAATTTTTATGGCTCAGAGTGGACTGGAGTGGAACAATGCTCGCGTTGTGTGAGTGAGATTACCGGCCGTTCAATCTACCTCCACATTTCTAATATCCCTTATCTGCAAAAGGCTTGCAACACATTTCTGATTCCTCTGGTGTTACCGGCATCCTCTGGCGATGCTGCTCGCTTACCATCAGGTGATCTCTCAGCTCGTTTGCCTACGATTCTACACACCATTCCTTTAAAAATTCCGCGAGGTCCAGAAACATTTAATTTGAAAAAAGGTAGAAGTAGGTACATCTCGTTTTTGTCATCTAAGAAAGAAGTTTTCAACAATATCTCACGAACTGGTCTTAGCACTACACAAACACATTATCAATAGAACTTTCTTTGACAATATCTTTGAACGATACGCAATAAATAATAATATATCTATTACTTGTACTATTATTTTCTTAGTACGAGTACACTAAAAAGGATCCAATCTTCCCAAACATAAGGTTTAATATACATATAGATATTCAATAAGGTGGTAATACATTCTGAATGTGGCGCATCCTACTGCGGTTAGAACAAATGGTTGAGAGTTTATTGAACGTGGTTGCGTCATAATTTATGTTATATTGTTTTCACAAAACATATGTTATAATGGTCATGCATAATATTCTATGACTACGTTACAATCTTAGAACATGGCTTGTAGAATATTCACTCGCAAATTCACTTGAATTTGACACACCAAAATCGACAATACCGCTAGGAAATGATCCACTGTAAAAGACTTTTCTTATTCGATGAATTATAAAAGTAAAAGTATTGTGTTTCCGTATGTTTTTTTTCACGGAATAAAGGCATCAATGCGCTTACAGCTGGACCATAGGGCACGAAGTTTAAAAATATTCAGCATCGTCAAATGAAATTAAAGATATCATCATCAACCTTCAGTTAACATATCAGTGTCAACCCATCAACCTTTCATGTGACGACCTTTCCAAATTCAAATCACCAAGATACAGTTGAAAATAATTTTTTTTAGGATATTCTCCTTTATGCAGACTTCTTTGAAAATCCTCGCTCTTTTTAAACCGAAAATCGTTCACCAAAGACTATGATATACTATAATGTTTGTACGAAGTCTTTACAAGCTCTCATGAGGAGCAAATTGCTGTTAAATGGCTTCCGTCCATGTACAGACCACAATGCCTTGTTGTTCAACCGCGAGATTATTAAAATATAGGTAGTGTAATATGTATAAGAAACGGCAGGTAATTGAGCTGGTTTAAGGCTATTCGTGAGGTGGTTGATGGTTAAAAGGATGGGTAGGATTTTTTGTACTTGGATGGTCATTTCTGTTGAGAAATTGTGGCTAATTTTCGGTTATGCAGACGTTTCTTACGGTCTTTTGAGGATACGGTTAAAATTCTCTCTCTGAGACTTTGAGAGAGCAGATATTGACGGGATCCTGAAATTTTAGAGGCGTTCTATTTATTCCGGATTGCATGTAGCAGTTAATCCATTATAAATTTGGACGATAACTATCCATAATCTTAATAGGACTTAAACCATAGAAAGAAGCTTGACCAAAGATTGTATAGGTACTGACTTTTGCAAAATTCATACATTCTTCTTTCTTCTCAACCAGATACTAAAGTTAAGAGATTGAACAGCAGATTCTTAGATTTGTGCGCTGATCAGCCCTTCGGATCAGGTGTCAGTACAAAGTACTTAAAATAAACGCACGTATCTTAGTGTCGAACAATTCTCGCCAATCAGTCTATCATTGCGAGGAAGCGGCGTTGAGTCACCGGTCGTTGATACTGCACGCATGCGCGCATAGAATGTGCATAATTAGATGTTCCCATGTCTTCTTGTGTCATGGTGTTTGGAGAAATGTATTGTTTTCATTGGAGAAGTACTGGAGAAGAGATGGAAGGCTTTGCTCAGTAGTGGGCATTTATAGGCTGTTGATGATGATGATGATAAATAATACAATCCTTACTATAATATTATAAATCTGAAAGTGACTTTGTTTGTTTGTTTGTTCCACTTTCACGCCGTAACTACTAAACCGATTACTTTAAATTTTTGCAGATGTATAGTTAGAAGTCTGGATTAAATAATAGGGTACTTTTTATCCTGGAAAAATAAGATATTCTCGAGGAAAAACGAAATTATTGATATAGATGGCGCTGTGTGTATTGGTATAAGTCACATAAGGCTACTTTTTATCCTATTGTGACGCGAGCGAAGCCGCGGGTAAAAGGTAGTATATTATAAAAAAAACTTTGTCAAAATAGTTTCCTCAATTGTTTTGAGTCTGTCAATGCTTAAGTAAATGCTCACGGACTTTAAAATTTGAAGGAATTGCGACTTGTTGCCATTCTGCAAGTTGCAACATTATACGTTAAGTCAAGATTATTAAAAAATACTCGGCAACAGCTTCACATTCTTAGTTAAGTCTTACCTCTCATTCCCTATTACTGTTTCAATGGCATTTCTGAAATAAGTCGGTAAAATATTCTAATTGGACGTAATTATAGATGAATCTTATAAAGATAGGAGACAAAGTGACCTTATAATTAAATCTTTCTTTTCTTTCTTTCTTTTTTTTTCTGAAAAACGTTGCCCCACACTAGTATTTTCTCCTGTGCCGTGGGTGCGTTTACAAACATACAAGTTCACATACACGTTACACCCAGACCCGGAACAACAATCTGTGGATCACACAAAGAGTTGTTCCGTGCGGGATCGAACCCGCGACACGTTACACGGCACTCAGTTGCCCAACCACCGCGCCAATAGTGCAGTCACGGTCATCTTAACACACACAAAACAATTTAAATTATCTAACCAATCACAAAGGGGTTCCTTGTTATCCTAATATCGACCACGCATATAAAACCTATAAAACTAACAAATCTATAGTAGCTTACGACACAAATTCTTAGATTTTATGAATGAATCCATTGTTTTATACATACATACTTACGATGTATGAATACTAATGTATATGTATGGAATTGTATATTATGTTTATTTTATTTATTCTACTGCTTCATTGGTCGAGTGGTCGCAAGTGCAGCCGGGCAAAGGGTCTCGGGTTAGAATCCCGGGTCGGGCAAAGAATTACTGGATTTTTAAAAACAATCTCAGTAGTAGCACGGAGTCTGGAATTGTGCCCGGTATATGGCAATGGCTCACTCTCTATTACATGGGACTCGTAACATATTGTGAAAAGTGGGTGTTACATTGTACTTACATATAGTGACATAATGTTCACCTCTACCTACCCCTTCGGGGATAAAATGCGTGATGCTATGTTATATTTATTTATTCTATACTTATAGCGCCATCGATTTGCTTGTTCAGCCGGCTAAATCTATGTCTCTTTGTAGTTCTCCAAAGTATAAGAAGAAATAAATATGAACACTATAATAGGTGTTATTAAGGTCGATTTTAAAATAAGACGTAGATCATTAGATTAGATGTTTAGTAAGTTCCTTTTTTAACTTTTATCTTGTAACTATTATAGTCACCTTTTATACAAGGTGTTATTAATAAACACAAAACCCAGCATTTTGTTGGGTGCTACTAAAACATGTTCAGTTTCGTTGGCTGAAGGACCAGTACATTAATTATATCACACCATATATATCAACTATGAATTTATTCTCTATTCAAAGTTTGATATTGCAATATAATGTACTACGCAATAACGACCACTAATAATCGAAAATGTTCTACGGTCATTGACCTAACAGATTTTATCACTACACCCTAAACTTATGACCTAGTATTGCATTATTTTAAACCCACGTACTATATTCCCGTTACAAAACATTCAAACCTTAATACGTTGACTCAAGGTTGTTTTTTATTTGAAAATATTTTCAGCTTAGGACAAATTAATTTCTACTCAAACCTTAACACGTTGACTCAAGGTTGACATTTGTTTGAAGTGTCAGAAGGACAATAGTTAGAAAACAATAAAGATTTTTATTGTAATAGTAATTCTTTGAAAGAAACTTTTTCACACTTTTTATGGCTTTAGCCACCCATTGAGAAGGATGTTGGACAATTTGAATATTTTTTTTAATTTAAAGCCTACCAAATAATAAATATAAATAGGATTTACATTTTGTGTCATTAGCAATGAATGAATTAGGTAGTATGTGAATAACGTTTTATAAGAATTATAAGGCAGCCGTTGATAAAAATACGTGAACAGTGAAATAGGTAAAAATTGTAAAAATAATAATTGGTTTAAATATAATTTATTTCTCACTAGCGACCCGCTCCAGCTTCGCACGAGTGCAATATGTATGTATTATTCATGTAAACCTTCCTTAAGAATCACTCTATCTTTAAAAAAAAACCGCAACAAAATCTGTGGCGTAGTTTTAAAGATCTAAGCATACATAGGGAGGGACAGACAGACATACGGCGAATAGCGACTTTGTTTTATACTATGTAGTGATTTATAATGACATATTCATAATTCCCTAGCTTCTGCTCGTGGCTTGACCATGCTTCCTGTGGGATATAAAGTGGCCTATGTGTTTCCAGACCTATTTCAAATCACATGCGGATCCCTTGAGTCGTTGTGATGTGAATGAGTAGGTACCAAAAATACAAACATACACACATACACACAGTCGCGGAGAACCTAACGGGTAACCGGGGCTCCGGCCCGACGTGCAGGAGAAGGAACGGGGTGGTTTTTAGTCAGTAAGAGTCTGACACTCCCTTCCGCCTCACCCAGGCGGGAGCAGTCATTCTATGATTTTCCCCCATTAAAAAAAAACACACATACACACAAACTTTTACATTTATAATATTAGTTAGATTAAATACTTACTAAATAAAGTTACAAAAACACTATATATAAAGGCCGCGAAATGTATAATTTATGATCAATCACTATAAAATATATGTTAATACATTTTTTTGGTTAAATTCTTCCCACGCTAATACTGTATGGGTCTGATTTAGACATTAGGTCATGAACGAATATTGTCATCAATACATACATAACTTCACGCCTCCCATGGGGGTAGGCAGAGACTAAGGAACGCCAATTACTACGATTCTTACATACCTCTTTCGCTTCATCAACAGTCAGTAATATATGATCAATCACTATAAAATATATGTTAATATTGTCATCAAATAAATCTAGAAGCTAGATTGTATGAAAGAGTAACGAATGGAGTTTCTTACTCAATCTTCTTTACTCGATTCTACTTATTGGTACATTTAATCTTGAAACGAGTTCCTCGTCAAATAATTACGTGAGTAAGCCGAAAAACATAATAAGTAATTAAATTCATTATGACTGCCTCGTTGGCCGAGTGGTCGTAAGTGCGATTGCCGGGCAAGGGGTCTCGGGTTCGATTCCCGGGTCGGGCAAAGTATTACTGGGTTTTTAAATATTCTCAGTAGTAGCACGGAGTCTGGAATTGTGCCCGGTATATGCCAATAGGCTCACCTCCTATTACATGGGACTCATAACATAAATAGTGAAAAGTGGGTGTTACATTGTACAGTGGTATAATGTGCACCTCTGCCTACCCCTTCGGGGATAAAAGGCGTGATGTTATGTTATGTAATTTCTTAAAATATTTTTTTAGGCACCACAACTAGATTTAACTAGATAGGCCATGTACTAAAGTAGGTACACCAAAACACATGTCCCAGTTTCATCTTTGTTCAGCACCCATTCAGCAGTGACATCATCAATTACAAACAAAATTTGTTCTAGTTAATAATAAGCACTAAAACATCTTTGTATAGACATTTTGTGCGGACAAACAGACAAAAAATATCCAAGTCCAAGGGCAAAGATATTGACTTGAGGCCGGCTGTGAGATAAGGATAGAATTCCGGTTTGAATAATATAGTTAGGTTTAGTTTTTAGTCTTTATGCTAGTCTTTCTAGATAGCACGGAGTTTATCGCGATCTATCAGACCACCACAGATGTTTCCCAGTCCAGTAGTGCTGATGCGGAATCGCGGAGGACTTCGTTTGCCGGGGCTCCGGCTCGAAGAACAGGAGTAGGAAAGGCGTTGATTGCTCCCCATCAGGTGTTTTGTCTGCTCGATTGCCTCTGCATTCCCTAAATGATGTTTTTTAACGTTCACCAGCAAAGTATAATGTACCTTAAATATAGCAGTACTCTCCGTTCTCTCTCTTTGTCTTTCTATGTTCCGATCGGTCCAAAAGAGGTCGGTTACAGACTTACAGTATTGCGGGCTTTCCGCGGTGAGAAGATGAAATGATATCAAATATCCTGTCTTTATTCCTATGACAATGAGATCCCACGGATACTTTGCAGTACTTAATACCTAAATGAATGATATTTTTCTATGCAAAGAAAGAAAAAACTGATTCAAAGATTGATTTTGTTGCTAAGAACTATTGAGAAATACTAACAAGTGTACACAAAAAATATATTGAACCTATTGTAATAGAAACCAAAGATTATCCCAAATACATCTTCAATTAACAATTGACCAATCATAACCTTGATTTTAACCTTTTTTAACCGACTTTTTGCTTAACACCTATTGTTAGAATCATTCCATGTTCGATTATAAAGTAGGTGTGTACAATACGAGCAAAAAATGTTATTGTTTTAATTGAAAGGGCCCGCAAATTGACGTTTCGTGACTCTTGATTTGATTGAGATATCAACTGTTAGTACTTTGGTACAATTAAAGGTATTATTTTCTAATTGAACCGTATAACTATTAACGTTAGAATATAAAAGCATGTAAGAGTACATGGGAGTGTTTTGTAGACCTACTTCGGTCAGCGGCTTTGCCCGCGTTCTCGGGTCAATAAGTAGGTTCCCCATCCCATGTGTCACTTTAGACTATTATCTATTGCTGTACCAAATTGCATTCGAATCTATTCAGTCGTTTTATCATGAGTGAGCAACAAACATCACAAACTTTTTAAGTTCTTGCATAAAAAGGCAACATTATTGTAAAAACTATGGATGTCACTTGTGTAGTTTATTATCTTTTATAAAATAAATAAACAAATCAATTAATCACCACAAAATACCCGATTACTCAATCAACAGCTGATGAAGTTGCTCTATTCATATTTTTTCGCCCACACACTAGTTCACCTTGCTTCGTAACGTATTTTCGCACGCCACGCGGCGATCAGATGGTCAATAGATACCGACTTATTGTATTTTAGGGTTCTGTACCCAAAGGGTAAAAACAGGAACTGTATTTCTAAAGACTTCATTGTCCATCGGTCTATCACTAATTGACCAGCTTGTATCTCATCGCGGAGGACTTATTGGGTTGCCGGGGCTCCGGCTCGAAGTGCAGGAGTAGGAACGGGGTGGTTTTTAGTCAGTAAGAGTCTGACACTCCCTCCCGCCTCATTCGATGATTTACCCCCTTAAAAAAAACCTGTATCTCATTAACCGTGACAGCTAGATAGTTGAGGAAAGGAAAGATAATGTATTTCAGTTGCAGCTATAGAAACAAATACAATACATAGATCCATAAAAGTTGGTTTTAATGCTGTTTATTGCTCAAATGAATAAATGAAATGGTACGAAACTCTTCCAGCCTGAGTCCGACTCGTACTTGGTCAGTTTTTTCACATAGTTTTTTGTTTATAGAGGTCCCATAGAGGATGGTACCTACACCTACCTATACGTAATTGTTTTCCAATTGCTTCGAAAAGTATCGGTTTGAAGTGTGAAGTTTTTAGGTACCTTGTACTCACTTAACGTGGGAATTAAAGAATGAGTCTGTTTTTTGTGAGTCCGATGTCAATTTGTGTGGTTTACCATTCAACAGTTGAAATAATAATTTACTCAGCTTATGGCTTGAGAAGTTCTCATCGTATCATCTTTCGTGGAAATTATTATTACAGGAAAATGGTGCAGGTTTTTAATGGTCGAGAAGACCTTCCCTTAAGTTCAATTTTTAGGTAAACTAAACCTTAATACCTTGTCAATTAAGTACAATTCGTCAAAATCTCTAGGTATTTCTTAAATAAACTTATAAATAAGTATAAGGTCATAGTTTTATCAACATGCTTCAATGGTTCTCTAAAATGATTTCGTCAGATCAGTTTTAAACTACATAAAAAAAATCGCACCATACTTAAAATCTTAACAATAAGTTCCCTTTCTACTAACTTAACAAACGTTACCGAAGGCACAATTACCCCCTCCCCAATCTCCCCAATCCCCGAACCGCAATAATCCTCCAATTCCTAATCCTCAAAAGGTCAGTAACGCACTTGTAACACCTCTGGTGTTTCGGTTGCCCATGGGCGGCACCGATTTCTTTCCAACAAGTGATCCGTCTGCTCGTTAACCGGCTTCTACCGAATTTATCTAATCCATACAATATTATCTGTTACAGGAAGATGAGAAGGTGATGGAACTGGTCGCCAAATATGGGCCGAAGAAATGGACGCTCATCGCACGCCATTTAAAAGGAAGGATAGGAAAACAATGCAGGTAAATATTTAAAACACTGTAAATTGTTTTTTATAAGTACCTGCTGGAAAAACAGGCACCAAAACTCTGTAAGCACCTGCGTGTCTGGATCTAGATTCCGTTTGTTAAATATTGAGATTAAATAATATATTAAGGGATTATAACGACAAATGAAATTTAAACAAAATAATTCGTTCTGATTGATATTGTTAATCTCTTATAGAATATTAGAAACCACTCACTAGAATAAATCTTTTGAGGACATTTACTATAATTTTATGATGAAAACACTAAAAACTAAGAATTAAAATAATATTGCCTTATAACTGTAAAGTTATATTCTAGAACTTATTTATGATATCTTACAAAAATTTTCTCTCTTCGACTTCCAGAGAACGATGGCACAACCACCTAAACCCATCTATAAAGAAGACAGCATGGACAGAGCACGAAGACCGAGTCATATATCAAGCACACAAACAGTTAGGGAACCAATGGGCCAAGATTGCGAAACTATTACCCGGCAGGTAAGGAAATATATCTTACTATACTCCGTCTGTTTAGGTAGTTAACTATTTGTAAACAAACCATAAAAAGAGTTCTTTATAGTTGACATTTCCATGATTCAAAATACTTCATAAGAAAATAAAATTGTTTCCCTTTTTACGACAGTTTTCTCTATTAAATGTTATGATTCTGTTCCTTTTCACTTATTTCTTAATAAATATTAAATATATCTGCTTGAGGATATTAATTTAATAACATTTATTAAATAACATAATATTTCATTACAATAGACACCATAAAGAGCCTAAAATCCCAGGTATCCAAAACGTTTCTTTAAGAACGAAGCAAAATAATGTTGTCAAATTAAAGAGTACAACTAAGATGTAGCGCGACAATGAAAGTAGCGTGTATTACGTTTAGTCGGTTAATCAGGCGCCATTGACAGCTCTCTCGTTGTTTGCGCTCGCGTTCCTATTTTGTTGAATTTAACTTGTTTCTTTGTTTTGTTTTTGTTATTAAGTTATTTAAGTTTAGGTTATTCATCGTTTGTAATTAATGTGTTCAAATATATTGAAGAAACTTGGCCCAAAGACAGATATCCGTACAAGAAAGAAATCCGTACATCAGATTCAGAATAGTTTCTATTTAAACATAATAATGAAATAGACCCATAGGCTAGGCTCTTGTACGATTTAGGCATTTGTACTTGTATGTGTGTGTATGACAAATGAACGATTTTAAAGTGAATTTAGTTAAAATTAAAACACGGGAAATATTTGAAGTAATAGTAGGTTAAGTATCTCTGTGTCACGTGGTTTTCTTTGTTTACCTTTAGTTAATTACCTAAACAGATGGACTATAGCTTTTACCCGCGGCTTCGCTCGCGTCACAAAAGAATAAAAAGTAGCCTATGTGACATATACCATTACACACAGCGCCATCTATACAAATATTTTTGTTTTACCTCGGGAATATCAATTTTTCCGGGTTAAAAAGTACCCTATTATTTAATCCGGACTTATAACTTTACGTCTGCAAAAATTCAAAGCAATCGGTTCAGTAGTTACGGCGTGAAGGTGGAACAAACAAACAAACTCACTTTCAGATTTATAATATTAGTAAGGATTGTACTCTACACTTAACTTGAGCGAACACACGAGCCATGCTTCGGCACGAATGGGACGGCTCGACCGGAGTGATACCACGGCCGAGCAGAAAACTGACGTGAAGCAACGCTTGCGTTGTGTTTCGTCGTGAGCGTGAGGTTACCGGAGGCCCAATTACCCTCCCCTTCCCCAATCTCCCCAATTCCTGAATCCCCAACGATCCTCAAACTCCTGATCCCCAAAAGGCCGGTAACGCACTTGTAACGCCTCTGGTGTTCCAGGTGTCCATGGGCGACGCCGATTACTTATCAGGTGATTCGTCTGCTCGTTGACCGGCTTATGCCATAAAAAATAAATAAAAATGTATGCAAAGCCCATAATTAACAGTCTGTAGTTTTTGCTATCCAAAAAGTATGATAGGTTTATGCCTCTATGAATGAATTTCCTAAAACTAACTCCAAATTAATAATTCCAGGACCGACAACGCAATAAAGAACCATTGGAACTCCACAATGAGGAGAAAATACGAGCCGGATCTACTGGACAGTTTCGAGACGCTCCGTCGGAAACAGCCGCGGGTAAAGCCGCGGGAACTAACTGACTCTAATATTATGCAAGAGAAGGTGCAAGTCGCGTATAACGATGTTAGTTTGCTGCTTTTTATGTTTTTTTCTTTCATTTTTTTTTTTCGGGATGATGTGTGACATGACCAACATATTATGAGATATCATTAAGATTAAAAATCGTGGGTTACTAGCGTGAAAATACCCTACGCGGCGCACGCTGCTCATGAGGAAGAACCCCTCTGTGGTTCGAAACTATTAGAGCCCGCGATTATTAGTTAATTTAGTATGTCTTACGATAGGCATTAAGTGCCGTAATGTGCACTTCTGCCTACCCCTTCGGGGATAAAAGGCGTGATGTTATGTTTATGTTTGTTTATGTATGTTTATTATAAAAACATAGCATTAAGTTTAACAGTATAACTTAATGACGTAAGCTGCAATTTTATTTTTATGAATTTTCTGAATAAAATAACGTTCCTATTTACAAGGGAAGTTATATTTTTGGGTCAAAAAAAATATTTCTTGAACTTATAGTCTACAATAATAGGGCAATAACCCCTTCAAGAAATGAATATCGTGGTTCTGTGTTATTTTACGATGTTCAATAATTATTGTTCTTATGTCACACATTATTCCTTTCAAATTGGTTGGTAAAATAAAATCAAAATATTCTGAGAACGTAACAGTAACAGATTGCCAAATCGAAGTGCAGGTTTTTAGTCAGTCTGGCACTCCCTCCCGCCTCACCCAGGCGGGAGAAGTCGTTCGATAATTTTCACATAAAAAGCCTGAAACCACATCACGGTTATTCCAAACTAGTCTCTACTGCGAAATACTAAAGTATTTTTTTGCTCACTTCATTCTGTATATAACTAATTAATTTAAGTTTTTTTTATTTCTTTATAGAAATAAAATATGTAGTTATTACCAAGACACAATCATTTTACTTCGTGACGATAACGATATAGATTTCGCGGTGTATACAATACGCTATTTTGTGGTTTCCCACAACAATGACAATATTACCAAACAACCAAGTATAACCAACCAATTTGACATTAAACAGGTAAAATATGGCAATAATTACAAACTAAACCATTGCCATATTTTTATTATAATGTATTTGCTGACCAATGATAAAAGTAATAACAATACTTGCGCAAATTGCCAAACAATTGGGTACTTGCCAGTAAGTCAAATTCAATAATTTTTTCAAACTGTCAAAAACAACAGTTTTATATGAATTTCGTACGAGATTGTCTATTGTGACGTCACGTTGTCAGCACATACATTCAATACGTTTAACATTAATTTGCCCTATTATTGGTTTTCATCATAAACGATATCACGTTCATAACAACACTTCATTCATGATTTGTTTCATTATGGTCTTCAATTTACGCTGGTGTGCTTTGGCTTCTGTAGATGCTATTTACGTTGTGTCACTGTTACGCTGAAATACTCAAAAGCTACTCAATTTTAAGTCGCGCTTAAGTATAGTTGACTGCACGGTTGGCGCGGTGGCTGGGCAACCGGCTGCCGAGCAACGTGTCGCGGGTTCGATTCCCGCACGGAACAACACTGTGTGATCCACAAATTGTTGTTCCGGGTCTGGGTGTCATGTGTATGTGAACTTGTACGTTTGTAAACGCACCCACGACACAGGAGATAATCCTAGTGTGGGGCAACGTTTAGTAAACAAAAAAAAATCTGTCTCCACAATTTCTTTGTGAAGTGACAGAGACGGCACGATATTTAAGTACAAGTTAAAATTGAGTCGCTTTGTATTCGGATGTAAATATTTTAAAATGCACTGTAGTTTTTGTGGTAATTTGTAACTAAATTTGTGTTTTTGTGAATGTGTTTATGTGGCTAACTGTTTCGTATATGTCGTTATATTATCAAGATTTTAATTCAAGTTTCTAAACGTCGTACAGTGATAGATGACTGTACGATATTTAACCCTTTGAGTATCGTCATTATAGACACAATTAAAGAACAATAGGTTGCGGTCACCGGTGTCCTCGCGGTGTTTGACAGTTTAAGCATAGATAACCAAATTCCTAACAAAAATTAAAGATATTTGATTTACGGTAGATTTTTCCAACGTCAGGTAAATTATTATTACTGAGGAATAACTTTGAATATTTGACAATTTTTCCATACTAAACATGGTCATAACTAAATGTCAATTTTATTCTACAGTTAAGATTGAACTGATGATTGAAAAATCTGCCCTTATTTAAAGATCTTGAGTACAGAAAACAAAATAAAATTCAGTATTAAAATTACTTTATTCAGAACCATTTCAAGAATATTCGCTACTAATTTTACCCGACTACACCGAAACCAAAAGGAGGGTTATGATTTTATTCTATAATTTCTTAAGATTAAATTGAGAGAAAAACTTTACCAAAATAAATACGAGTGTACACCAAAACTATAATATAGCAAGATATATAAGAACTCTCCAAGATATGTACACTCCTCTACCCCCAAAAACCAACTTCAGTTCACAACTAATAACACAATTTCTTCCACAGCAATCCTGGTCGGATCCCTTCAACGAATCAGCCCAAAGCAACTCGTCGAATACAAGCCAGCCTCCTTCGAAACATGTCCTACATTTCCGTCAGTTACTCAAAGATCAACTAAACAATTTGCAACACCAAGTCATACCGAAATCGCCGGATAGAGGAGGGCTGGTCGCTGCAGACGAAATGGAAATCGTTGATACGCCTTTTAAGTAAGTATTTCTGTAATTTGTTTGTAAAATATATTAATTTTTATTTCATACTAGCTTTTACCCGCAGCTTCGCTCGCGTCACAAAAGGATAAAAAGTAGCCTATGTGACATATACCAATACATACAGAGCCATCTATATCAATACTTTTGTTTTCCCTCGGAAATATCAAATTTCCGGGATAAAAAGCACACTATTATTTAATCCGGACTTCTAACTTCACGTCTGCAAAAATTCAAAGCAATCGGTTTAGTAGTTACGGCGTGAAGGCGGAACAAACAAACAAACTCACTTTCCGATTTATAATATTAGTAAGGATTAGCTTCTTATTAAGCACAAGTCTTTGATTCAAGACAGAAGAAAATTAAAACACATTGGACGGTCCAGAAAGTCCTTGCTAGTGATTACTCAACAAAATATATATAAATAAAAAATCACGCCTTTTATCCCCGAAAGGGTCAACAGAGGTGCACATTACGGCACTTAATGCCACTGTACAATGTAACACCCACTTTTCACTTTTTATGTTATGAGTCCCATGTAATAGGAGGTGAGCCTATTGCCATATATCGGGCACGATTCCAGACGCCGTGCTACTACTGAGAGTAGTAGTAGTAGATTAGTTTTAAAATGCTAAATAATGTTTGTTATAGAAACTTAATTATGTTGAACCTTATAATATTAGAGTGCAAAGATTTCAGTTACACTTTTCATTAGCTATTTTTTGGGACTACGGACATATGAGACTAATGTTAAACTTATTAATTTCAGATTCGTAAACATAGAAACTCTACCAACAGACTCACCGCTCAGAAACTATCTATCATCAGCCTCAGCTACCACTGAGAATAACCAAGATACTGGTAAGTATTTATCACCAGACTTTCCCTTTCTGTTGGTCTCGCAATCGTCGACTTGAAGACTACTTGACAGACAGACTACTAAGACTTATTGATAGACAGATGAACGGACAATTAAATTTTTGACGTTTCAAAAGTGGACTTGACTTAAAACTTGACTTTAAAACTTATGGGGCAGAGCCCGGCAGATTCTCTATACACATTACTATTTTGAACTGCCATTTCTAATGCTAAACAAAGTCAAAGTCAAAGCATTTATTTCAATTAAACCATTATTTGGTACTTTTGAAACATCAAAAAGTACAAAATAAATAATAGTCTGTCAGTCAGTCCGTCAGTGAAGCTAGGTGAAGCTAGGTGCTCATTCCAAAATGTACATTCGAATGGAGACGAACAAGCAAGAAACTCCATTCGTTTATAAAAGAAAATTAATTACCACAAGACCTTTACTATCGACAGTAAGGTATCGAAGAAAATCCTCTTAAAAAAAAATGGTGGAGAAAAAACCCTCTCAATTTGGAGGCCCGTACAGCACTTGATGACTATTGTTGACGATTTCAAGCTCTGGATAGTCATCCACAAAGTTTTACACAAAGTAATATACAAATCCATGGGTGTTCCCTGTTCAATAAAGAATTTATTATTATCTCTTTTCCACAGTTACCTACGCCGTACAAGCAGAAGCGAGCAAAGAGATAGAGGTTCCCTCAGCAATGTACACGTCGCCTCGTAAGAAAGGAGGCGAGACTAGCAGTCCGCCTCCGATACTGAGGCGAAAGACTAAGAAGTTACCCGTCGTTACTACCAACAACCCTAATGTGAGTTTAAGTATTGTATCAAAGGTTTTTTTAGTTTATTTTTATGAGTTATACTGTGTTCCCTTCGAAGTCGCGGAGAACCTAACGGGTTACCGGGGCTCCGGCTCGACGTGCAGGAGAAGGAACGGGGTGGTTTTTAGTCAGTAAGAGTCTGACACTCCCTCCCGCCTCATCCAGGCGGGAGAAGTCATTCGATGATTTTCCAACCTTAAAAAAAATACGTATGCATTTATGTCGTTGGTAAATATAGTATTTGTTATTTTATATTTTACTAGTCGACCCGGCAAACTGTTTCGCTTCAAAATAATTTTTCTTATATCAACTTTTAAACTTTCCCTGTATTTCTACAGACCAAAATTAGCTAAATTGGTCCAGCCGTTCTAGAGTTTTAACGAGACTGACAAACGGAAATTAATTTTTATTTATAGAGATACTTATTGTAATTCCGTATATTTATTTTAAATTCTCTACAAATTATATTTTAAATACTACTTACAAAATAAAAAATAATATTAAAAAATATAAAAAATAGGAGCCGACTTCCGAGACTTACGGAGCCGAGTAATAGTTAAATTACGTATTGTAACTTCATATTGAATATCGAATATAATAACCTAATTTCAATTTCCAGGCATGGACAGACACTTTAACCAAAGCGCTGGAGTACCGTGAATCAGGCGTGACACCAATAAAGGCGCTGCCGTTTAGTCCGTCTCAGTTCCTCAACTCCCCCGCCGGAATATCATTCTCCGCTATAGACGCTAACTCTACGCCGCTGCGACATGCTGCCAAGGTAAGATACGCTATCATATTGTTGGACATATGATTTTAAACCTTATTACAAAGGGACAAACCTATGAAATAAATTGTATTAGCTTGAACCGTTGAGTTATTTTCCACCACAAGGCTTTTGCTATCGACAGAAAACTGTTCAGTGCAAATCCTCTTCTAGCATAAGCCTATAACTATGTTGTTCCAAATGGCATTCGACGTGTAATTTATACATCTGCTGTCAAATTTATCCAAAATCTAATACTATTATAAAAAGCGGAAGAGTTTGTGTTTTTGTTTAAACGCGCTAATCTCCGTAACTACAAGTCTGATTTGAATAATTATTTTTGTGTTGGATAGTGCATTTATCGAGGATGGCTATAGGCTATAAAACATTACGTTACGACCAATAGGAGCTGAGTAGAGCGTGTGAAATCGCGCGGAAGTAGCTAGTTCTAAATACATGATGTTATTTGCTTTCAGGAGTGGAGTGCGAGTCCTCTACTTCAGACCCCTACGCCAGTCAACCACGTGACGCCTGGAGGACCCAATCCTGTCAAGAGTAATACACCTAAGTAAGTAATGGAACCTTATGTCAATAACTCTTTCTAAAATTTTTATTGCTAAGCTTAAGTTCCATATATTTGTACTCGATTTCATTTAATTTTGTACATAACATAACATTACGGCTTTTATCCCGGAAGGAGTAGGTAGAGGTGCACATTACGGCCCTAATGCCACTGTACAATGTAACACCAACTTTTCACTATTTATATTATGAGTCCCATGTAATAGGGGGTGAGCCTATTGCCATATACCGGACACAATTCCAGACTCCGTGCTACTACTGAGAATTTTTAAAAACCCAGTAATACTTTGCCCGACCCGGGTATCGAACCCGAGACCTCTTGCTTTGTCGCACTTGCGACCACTCGGCCAACGAGGCAGTCGAAAAATCTGAACTAATCTTTCAAAATCACTTTACAGAACTCCAACGCCCTTCAAGATCGCTATGGCGGAACTGGGCAAGAAATCAGGTCTGAAGTATGAACCATCGAGCCCTGGACTACTAGTCGAAGATATCACCATGATGATGAAGAGAGAAAACTCTGATAGCACTGTCCAGTTGAACGATTCTTTATTGTCCACTGCCGCTGATCAGGAAAATGGGAACGTGCAGGTGAGAAATTTGAACTTTTCAAGAAGTATTTAGCCAGTTTTAAAGGAATTCTATGTTCTTTAAGAAATTGGGTACTTACCTTAATCAAAAATAAATTATTTCGACTGTTATACAATAAAATATTAAAATATATTCATTAATTGATTTATGACCAACTTAATTTTAGTATTTTTCCAGCAAATTTTTAATATGCTGTTTGACGCTAAAAAAACTTCACGTCACAGTACACAATCTCGTACTTAAAATTCATAGAAAACTGTCGTTTTTGACGGTTAGAAAAAAGTATTGAATTTGATTAGTTGCCAAGTACCCAATTGGTGAATTAAGTCTGCCAATACAAGTTACCAATTCATTTCCGGACTTATGAGTAGGATTTGTTGTATTATAACTCACACAATCGTAAACACAACATTTACTCAACGCGTTATTTTACGTTGTCAGAATTCATAGTTTTTTAACATTAAAGTTGGCAAGTCGACATTAAAGTAGTACAAGTGTACATTGAGACAATGATACATACACAGACGAACTATTGTTATCCTAATTATTATTTATGTGATATATACAGAAAACAATACCTAACCTTTACTAACAAACCTCTTTTTCACCAGATAAACGACTCCGGCATAGGTAGCCTGAAGCGAGGTAATGAGTCAGGCAAGGAGAACGTCCCCGGCCACAAGAAGGCGCGCAAGGCTCTGGCCCCGGCCTGGGCCGCCCTCACTAGCACGCCACACGCCCGGGAACATACTCCTACACTCGTACCCGACGTCTCTTACATCGAGACTCCTGTAAGTATCTATGATACAGACATACATTACTGAAGTAGGCAGAGGTGCACATTACGGCACTTAATGCCACTAAACAATATAACACCCACTTTTCACTATTTATGTTATGAGTCCCATGTAATAGGGGGTGAGCCATTACCATATATCGGGCACAATTCCAGACTTCGTGCTACTACTGAGGATTTTTTGATAAACACAGTAATACTTTGCCCGACCCGGGAATCGAACCCGAGACCCCTTGCCGGGCAGTCACACGAGGCAGTCTCATTATTATAGGCTATCAAAATCACACTGAAAACTAAACGTACTTATCTGAATTGTTCCAGAGCAAAACCTTAGCCGGAGACAGCTCAGTAATGTTCTCACCACCGTCAATCGTCAAGCATTCTCTACTAGAAGAATCCACAAGCCTACACTCCCTTATAAGCGCTGAAAACACGCCAGACACAAGCAAATACGAAGACATTGATATCGAAGCCGTCATCACTGAGAAAACTAAGGTACAACACAGGTCTATACTCCTTACTAATCCTGAACCTAACACCTTAGGCCCTACTGATATCATTTACCCAGAATATATGACTCCGTTCAAAGACATCACTAATTTAGACAACCCTAGCTTCTCTAGATTAAATGCTGATAGACTTCGAACTATTACTACGGGCAACGAATTAGCTTGCGACACCCTTATTGCGCCTAAACAGGTCCTAGCTAACGCCTTAGCTGACCACATTTATAAAGTAACCAATCAGAAGCCGTCTACGTCACGTATAGATGAGATTTTAACCAATAAGATTATGAATAAAAATGATTATGCGCAGAAAGAGAATCAGTGGTGGACTGTGGATAAAGATACTGGACAGACGGACGATGTGTTTAGTAATGATTATTATATGTTCGCTAATATGTAGGTCGGGATTACGCTTATTGAATTAGGTATGTCTTGTGATGGTTTGTTAGTCGATTTTTTACATTTTATTCGATAAATATATCGATTTCTGTAATTTTTCTATCGAGACATTGCTCAAATCAATGGATCTCTGTGATCATATTTCCTTATTTTTTCCTGAACTGTAATCGGTTTTTAATTTAAAAAAAATCGACTAAACATTGTATTCAAACCTAAGTTTTATCGAATAAAATAAAATCTTCTAACAAAATATCACAAGAATTAACAACGGACTGTGAATAATAGTAATTATAAGTAAAAGACACGCTTAACTAAGTCATAACATTAACGGTTCTAATTAATTTAAAATGTGGGTTACATTCTAAATAAATCGACTAACATGTTTAACTCGACTATATTGTCTTATAGACAGAAGTACATAAGTATTGATCGGTCACGATTTTTTTAGGGAATATAGTTTATGTATATAGGCACGGCTTTTATAATTATTATAACACTTTATTCGACATTTTTCTGAAAAATATATATTGTTATATTTTACAGTCGCAAAAAATATGTCCCCTTTAGTAACCCACATAAAATTAAAAACTAATCATAAACTAAACGATTAAACTAATATAATAAAATTAACACAAATAACATTGTGATTTATTACTAAAAACTAAAACGGAAATCGTTAATTAAAATCGACTAAGTAATTAACTACTCGACTAATAAAATAATCATGACAAAATCGGGATCTAAATCGAATGTTTTCGATATTCGTCGAATCGAATATCCGTATCTTATAATCGTGTAAGCGATTGTCGGTTGTAAATTTTACTAATTTTATTTTTTAGATTATTTTCGAATCTTTTAGTTAGTATTCGCACCAAACTAATGTAAACGTTAAACGGTATTAGAAATAAGGTACCAAAGATGAGGTTTTCATCAAATGAACTATTCGTTTTTTTCTATTATTAATTATCTATTAATTTAATATATTCCTTAATTTCTCTAGTTAAAAAAAGTATAGTTGTAGGAAACGTCAAAAGTATACCTCAAGTTTACCATGCACCAAATTATTTAAGTGTTACTAGTTGTAATAATTTCGAAGTATTAATTTGTTTAGGTTAAACATAATCTTGTTCGTAGTGACAAAAAACAAATGAGTACAAAATGAATCGTGTTTTCAACAGTATTTAGGAATCGTTACGTTCCAATATTGAAGAAGAGTTGAAAGTGATTTAAAAAATGTTTTTCGTGCGCACGAAATTCGTTGAAAAATCGACCTTAAGGTTGTATTGAAAGGGCGCGTTTTCTTTCGATCTACTAACGACCCTAATAGACACCTTTCCCATCCCTGTATTTATTTATTTAGAAATTCTATTAATTATAGTATTTTCGCTTTGTATTTTTGCCTTTAAAATATTAACAATTTAATTTAATTGTCATTCGAATTTCGACTTTAACGCTGTCGCATAGGTTGTGGAATTGTATTTATATAAAAGACACATTTTTTTGTTAAATTTTTGTAACATTTTTATATCGGCAGCTACTTAAGAGTACTTTATTTGAAATAAACAAATGACATTACCTTTCTACCCATTCCTACCATTTTGTATGACTTTCCTACCAATCCTTTCCTACCACAATATTGACAGGCCAGTGTTGAATCTTCATAAAAAATACTTATTTATTTATATCTTGTTATAGAAATTGTTTTTTGTTACTATTTATGTTTTAAAAAGAATGTTTTAATTTATTCTGTAGCTGTAGTTTTTTTGTATTATGGCAACATTTTTTTTTGTATTTCGATGTGTTTTTTCTTTTTTTTATAGTAGAGTAGTTTAGTGTCTCTGTCAATATTGTTTGTATTCCAATCCAATCCAAAAGAGATCCGATGTCATTTTTTATTTCAATAAATGTATTTTGTACATTTTACTTTTTTTGATTTTTTTTTTCTTTTCTTTCCCTTTTTTTTGTTGTAGATTTTATTCAGATGCATTTTAAATATTTATATTGTTTATACAGCATTTTGATGCACAGATTATGATAGAACATTTGAATTCATAGAAAAATATCGAATCAATATCAAACCCATACAGAACTGAGTTAAACTTTAGTACTTTTATTGAATTTAATTGTTATTTGGTACAAAAATTAAACGATGAACATTTTACCAATCACTCAGGCATCAAAGTTTAATGTAAAATACTTGCAATTTTATAAAGCTCAGCATATTTTCACTAATATTAAACTTCAACAGTCAAATAAGTAACATATCTTTTAAGACTACCGTTCACAAGTAGATGACATCAATATAGATGACATCATTTTTTTTTTGAAAATTGTTTTTTTGAAATAAATAAATATGGTAACAAGTATATGACATCAATAAAATGAAAAGAGAATAAATACTCTTTCAACATATTATTTGAAAATGCAACATAAACTTTACTTTCTTACTTGCAAGGTTAACTTTACAACTGCAACACAATTCTATATCTTATTCTCAACAAGATAAAACACAAAATGTAATGAAGAATTCATACAATATCCCCTTCAAATTATCTCCCTTATAGATTACAAGGGGTAACGAGCCTATAGTCGTGAAGAAGTCCGCCGTCCGCTCCATCAAATTCGACCGTCTTGAGGAGCCCGTCGAAGTCAAGGATGAGAAGAACCAATCTCCTTTCATTGTGGTTAGTATTTTATTTTTATTAATTTGGTAATAATTAACACTAGTCTATGAGCTATATTTCACCGGGACACCATGGCATCGCAACCACTCGCCGCCACCAAGAACTATGAAGTTCTATAGAGAGTTGCTCACCTGGTGTCCGTTTGGTTGCGTATCCAATTTTTGAATTATATTGGTAGCAGCGTAACCAGTCACGCCTCCGTGACGGTCGGACTGGCGACTGAGTGAGTACCATACCATACAGCGCTATAGTAATTAGTGGTAGCGCCACCAGCGTGGATGAGCGACCAGTAACATTCTGTGCTGGCATCCGAACTGGTCGCGCAGTCAAATTAGTTGCGCACCCAAGCAGACACCTTTAGCCAAACGCCACTTTAGCGCTTGTCTACAGAGAGAGTAGAAATCAAAATGTATGGGGAAAATTTACATCAATTCCATATAATTTGGTTTTCTATTCTACATGTAGACAAGCGCTAAATGGCATTTGGCTAAAGCTGCTGGTAAATAACGCTTTATAGAGTTGTATACATTTTGTTGGTGGTGGCGATTGGTTGCGCGGCCATAGTGCCCTTATGAAATGTAGCCCGAAGTGATAATAATGAATTAAATGGAAAGTCAGTAAATAATTCTGTTATCATAGGCTACGTTGGATAATCTTTCAACGCTATTTGTCTAGGAGACAGAAATTGTCTCTCTAGTGTTTAATTATCGGGTAATAAACAGGGTATCAATAGATTTCTCACTAACAATAATTATACATTCTAAAATGCACCATAAGACGTTAGTTTCGGTTCTTCGAGTAATCGCAATGTGTACTTATGTCCATGACTGCTTTGTGGGCTGAGTTGTCGCAAATGCAATTTCGGGAATATCGGGTTCCGATACCAGGGTCAAGGTAAAGTATTATTAGAAACTTCGTATTCATGTCATTGAGAATTACACCCACCCGTAACAAAAGGCCTTGATTGAGACCAATTCAATGAGATAATAAAATTTTTTTTTTAAAAGAGTATCGTTGGTGTTTCTTGCTCGTTCTTCTCCACTTGAAACTATACTTTGGAGTCTAGCGCCTAGCTTCACTAACAGTCGTTCGGACGGACAATTCAATTTTCACGTTTCAAAAGTACCTAATTAAGTATTTATCCTTACTTCCTTACTAATATTATAAATCGGAAAGTGAGTTTGTTTGTTTGTTTGTTCCACTTTCACGCCGTAACTACTACACCGATTGCTTTGAATTTTTGCAGACGTGAAGTTAGAAGTCCGGATTAAATAATAGGGTACTTTTTATCCCGGAAAATTTGATATTCTCGAGGAAAAACGAAATTATTGGTATAGATGGCGCTGTGTGTATTGGTACTATTGGTATATGTAACATAGGCTCCTTTTTTTCCTTTTGTGACGCAAGCCAAGCCGCGGGTAAAAGCTAGTCTAAAATAAATGCTTTTAACTTTCGACTTTGATTACCTGAGATTCATAATTGGTGAGAAATGGGGGTAAAATTGCTCCTATCTTCTTCTTCTCTCTCCTTTGAGGATTATAATGCAATGTATGACGTATTCTGTATGTTATTTTTTTTATTTACAGGGCACTTATAAATGGCAAACATTTGCCTGCGGTATGACACAGGACCAGTTGGACCTCACGCAGTTGGCACATCAATACTTGAGAAAAACTGCCTTGAAACCTCGCTCTTTAAATTTTTTATGAACATAGAAATAATTTGTTATACTTTTTGGACTTTTTGGCCTTGGCCTGGAAATTTTATGGACTTATTCTGAATTGGGACTTACTATGGGCGTTGCCTGGAAATTTAAAGGACTGATACAGTTTCTTTATGGGTTTGGCCTGGATTGATGGACTGGAAAATTAATGGATTTTAAACTGGGACAGTTTACGACTGTATTTGTTAACTTTTAGATTGTATATCTAATATGTAGTGTTGTGTGATTTTGTGTTTCAATCTTCTATTTTTTATCATTATTATGGTCTGAATTTGAGGCCACATTTGTAAAAATATGGCCTCATTTTTAATTTTGTTTATTTTGAATCATTTTTTAAATGAGTGTTATAAAAGTATAGGCCATAATGATGACAATTGTGTGGATGGATGATCATGTAGATGAATTACGCTTATTATTTTAGATGTATCTTTATTTAATAAGTATAGTACGTATATATATTATGTAATATAATATATACTAGGAACAGTGTGATTTTAGTATAAGAATTATGTCGTAAGTAATGTAGATAGAAAAAAAATAATAAAAAATATTATATAATGTCTTATTCTAGTTTTTTGAATGTTTGTATTGGTT